ATATGAATATAAAAATATATAATAATTATTTGGGCCTGGTCAAGTTTAAATTGTAAATTTTATGTCCAAAACCTAGTATATTTCTTAATCAGGTCTAAAATTTAAGTTCAGGTCTATTTAACAAATTTAAAATTTATGTCGAAGCCCTTTTAAATTTAAGATGACTTTCAGATTCGAGCGAGTTGGCTAACCAATATAATTTTAAAATTAAATTCATTTGGTGCTTAAGAGATTGCATTTGAAATTTAAATTTCAATATTTACATTTTTTTCAATATTTAAGTTGTGACATCTTTTATATAAAAAATACATCTTTTAAAGAAAAAAAAAATTAAAAACTACTATCTTTTGATAATAAAGATTTTAATTTACCTTACCTTAAAAAAATTATAAATTAGAAGCTTTTAAACCCAACCTCAACTATTTAATTACCTAACCAAGGACTGATTAACAGAATAATTTGCTTTGGATGGAGGAGAAAAGCAAGAGAACTGATTGATCCTTGCATTTGGTAGCTTTAATTCTTTACCTAAAATTTCTTGGTCTGCTTTGACGTGTGTAAAATCAAGATCATTTCATTGGTCTTGCGTTTAGAAAACGATTGTTAGCTTTCCTGACTTGAAAATTCTCTGTCTGATTTGACGTGTGTGAAACCAAGACCCTACTGATTGATCCTTGCATTTGATAGCTTTAATTCTTCACCTAAATTTCTTAGTCTGCCTTGATGTGTGTGAAACCAAGATAAATTGATTGATCCCTGCGTTTAGAAATGATCATAGCTTTCCTGATTTAAAATTTCTTGGTCTGCTTGAGGTTTGTGGAAAGCAAGATGACTTGGATTGATGCATGGCCTAGCGCTTAGAACACGTCGTTAGCTTTTCTGACTAGATTCCTTTATCTGCTTTAATGTGTGCGAAAAATAAAATAACTTTATTGATACTTCTTTTGTCTCTCTCATGGAGAAAGAATTACTTGCATAGTTTTGGATTACACCAATCACGGCTTTGATATATGGTACTATCATAAACTTGTATTAGGGTTGAATTGAAACTAACACTCCATATGTCCCCAAATCTCTTTATACTTATTTGAATTTGTGTACATATTAAGTAAAAAATTGTGCTAAAAAAGTGAGCCTAAACAATGTTCATATGGCAAAAAAAAAAAAAAAGATCCTTTTAACTTTTTTTGTTGAAATTTATGCCAACAGTTACATGATATCAAGGCAGCAAATTTTATTGATTTTTAAAGATATCGATGGAATTAATGGATAAATTTGAAATAAATGAAATCAAGAGAAATTTTGAACTAAATTAAAAAGATAAATGTGAAAAATATATCGTTTTTTTATATAATTTTATGAATTGTTTGAAGGGTAAAATGAAAATGCAAAAGAATTTCATTAAATATTTGGTCCCATATATTAGCAAATTTTAAATAAATTTTAATTTATAACTTTGTTTAAAAATATTATTACATTAACTTCATTCTTTCCATATTCCGTTAATTAATACTAAAAATGAATTTTTGAAAGAAAAAAGATTATAAATGAAATTCATTTGAAAACTTTTTATATTCTACTAACCACTGAAAGTAACTAGAATGTTAAGTAAAGGAAAAATCATATGATATTATCATATTAATTTAATATTTTCATATTCTATAAATTCATGATTTGAAAATATATTTTCAAAAATAATTAGATCACTTTTATTTGGAGTTTGAGTACGATATTGTATTTTAAAATTTAAATTTTTTTTTAATATTGAATATTATCAATGATCAATTATCCTAATATAATTTATATCTCTTAGAAATATATATATATATATAATTTATATTTATGTTTATATAAAAGAATGACTGCCTGCAATTTCATACAAGTCCATGGCGTGAAACGCGGAGTCAAGGAGAAATGACTAGTTGGGTCTCACAAAGTGTGTAAGTGCAATGAATACCACAAAAAAAAAAAGAGAAAAAGATATATTGGTTTTAGATATGCTTTGTAAAAGGAGATCAAAAGCGAATTAGAGGGCCCAAAATCAAAAGCTTGACTTATTTTATTTATTGTGAAGACCGAGGCTGTTGGTATCAATTGCCTGGTGATATCAAATTCATCCAAAGATTTTATAGAAGTATTGGACTACCTGTTTAGGTAATAAAAATTGACATTCCATTAAAAAAAAAAAAACCTCTTTGAAAAGAAAAAATAATTTAAAAATGGCCTATTTAGGTAATAAATACTTTTAATTTTCCTTACCTTAAAAAAGTAGTGGTTACAAATTAGGAGGTTTTACACCCAGGCTCAATTATTTAACAACCCAAGTATGATAATAAAGTAATCAAATTCAACATATAATATTAAAAGATCGGAACGCAGTTAAAAGAAGACCATACTGTTTTTGGAAACTATACAAATTCACATGTTAATGTCGTAATAATAATAGTGGTTGCTTTGATTTAAAAAAAAAATAGTGGTTGCTTTGATTTGGTAAGGTTTAGATTAATCCTTGCTCTTGCAACAAAGTCAATTGCTTTTCTGACTTCAAAATTTCTTAGTTAGGGTCAATTGGAAAGAGAATTGCTTGCATTAGGTGGAATCATTTGCAATATATATATATATATATATATGTGATAATATTACGATCACATGAGATTAAAATTATACGAAAAAATATGTGAAAGTGATATTATTTAAAGTTTTGACAAAATTCTGTGGATTTGACAACAACAAAAAAAAGTATTTTATATTTGATTTATCAACATTAATTTGATATGAAAACTTTCATATTTTATATGTATATAATGATATTGACATAATACAAATATATGAATTACTAAATCTATTTTGGACCGTATCAATAAAATATTTAATAGAAGTACCAAATTTCAATATACTCATATGGGGCAAAGAAAATTCATTAAAAATTAATTTTTTATAGGATGTTACTTTATGGGTGGGTAGCTTTTTTTGAATAAGATTAAAAAAGTTTTTTTTAAATCTTAAATTTATATTGTTATTCTATTTTAACTTTGTAAATTTACCAATTGGTTAACTCATGACTACAACTCAATCACGTTACCATTAGTGTATGTATATATATATATATATATATATATATATATTCACAATTTTAGTTTAAAAATAAATTTAAATTTATTTAGCAAAAAAAATTTAGATTGTATTGTATCTTAACAGCATTATCATTATTATTATCTTAGAAAAAAATTTTTACAAAATTATAATCGATTTAACACCTTTCATTATAAATTAAAAATTAGTTACAGATAGATGTGGTGATGACACATGTTCATAAGGGTCATAGAAAGAATTTATTCAATTTTATGGGTACTTTTGACATTTTATGAGAGAAATTGAGAGTTGTATTTTGGACTTATTTTAAGATGTTGAATAAAATTTTCATTATGTTTGAGCTCTTATTATGGTTTTTTTTGTTATTATAAATATAAAATTACGCTTTATGTTTTTATTTATTTGATGTGTTAATTTTAAAGTTTTATAATTTAATTTATCTCTATGCTTATTTGAGTAATTCATTTGCTAAATTTTTAGGGTGCATTGATATTAATTAAATATTAATTTGGGATTATTATTAGAAGTAGATTGTGTTTACTAATTTATTTATAAGTTGATTATTTATAAAAGAATGATTAAAATATTATTATTACATATAATTGACATTTATATCTCGAGTGTTTAAGTAATAACAAAATAATAAAATAAAAACCGAATTGAAACACGATCCTAAAGCTAGTAAGTTTCCAAACTTGGAAGTATTTCCATTTTTTAAATAATTTCAATAGCATTAACTATTGGGTTCATCTATTATGCTATATATAGGAGCAATTTTTACCTGGCATATTTTTATTGAATACTAAAACTCACATTACAAATAGACCATAGTAATATTTTATTTATAAAAATAATTTAATAATTTAATTAATTTTATTTTTTAGATTTAACACACCTGATATGTGAGTGAAAAAGAAAATATTTTGATAAAAAAAGGAAGTTAGCTAATAAAAGATGTTACTTGATGTATTGGATGTGTAGTTTTTTTTTTTACAAAAACAAATTTAAAAAATAAATATCTGTACCTACATAATATTATTATTATTATTATTTTATCTTAAATTTTAAGTAATTTCATTAATTAAATTGATTCCATCTGGTTTAAAAATAACATAAGATTACTGTTTTGCAACACTCTCGCGTAACACGTGGAGTCATGGGGCCTAATAAAGTGCACAAGACAAGGAATAAAAAGAAAGAAAGAGATAGAAAAAAAAGAGATGCTAAAAGATAAATTAGTTTCCAAATCAAAAGCTTCACTCGTTTATTTATTGTGAAGACGAAGACCATCCAACGACTTTCCTGTCGAAGTCTCAGTCATGTTGACTAGTTGATTCTATATTTAAGTATTACTTTGAGCAGACTTCCTCAAACCATCCTGCATTTTCATCAATTCCCACAGCCATGAACATGAGAAAATTCCATTTTCTTTCATCAGCTTTAATGTTCATTCATTGTTTGATGATTAGTTACGCCATGATTGTGAGAAACCTCACCACAGACCAACATGCTCTTCTCGAATTTAAGCACCTAATCATTGATCCTCATAACATCTTAGCCAATAACTGGACTACCACTACCTCTGTTTGCAATTGGGTTGGTGTCTCTTGCGCTTCTAAGCATAGGAGAGTCAACTCTTTGAATCTTCCAACATGAATCTTATAGGAACTGTCCCACCACATTTGGGAAATCTCTCATTCTTAGTATCTCTTAATTTGAGCCACAACAATTTTCATGGCCATTTACCGACAGAGTTGGGGCAATTAAGTCGTCTGAAACTCATAGAATTAAGCTTCAATTTTCTTAGTGGGGAAATTCCCTCATGGTTTGGGAGATTAAATAAAGTTTTATATTTGAGCCTCTGGAGCAACAATTTAACAGGCACAATCCCTCAATCACTAGCTAAAATGTCCAACTTGGAAATCTTGGACTTGAGGCAGAATCTCGTTCAAGGACACATTCCGCCCGAGATAAGTAATCTTATAAATCTAAGGATACTTCGTCTGGCATTTAACCAACTTTCTGGTTCTGTCCCTTCAGTCATTTACAACATTTCCTCCCTACACATGATTTCTCTTACATCTAACAGTCTATCTGGCAGTTTACCAGAAGATATATGTCGCCATCTTCCAAATCTTGAGGCATTTTACTTGACCTTAAACGAGTTCTCTGGTCAAATTCCATCAAGTATAGATGAATGCAGGTGTCTTCAAAATTTAAGATTAGACTCAAACAGATTCAGTGGCAGCATTCCAAGGAGTATTGGAAATTTAACGAGGCTCAAAGTGCTATACCTGAGTGGAAATAATTTGGAAGGTAAGCTCTTTGTTTTTTCTTTGATAATTTTCTTTCGATTGATCGCTAATTAATTTTTGTATTTAGTGAAACATGATTCAAGCTAAAACTCCCTAATTTATGCTACTAAAAATAGCTTTACTTTAACCAAGACTCCAACAAAGTTAATTAAGACTCCTTTTAATTAGTTGTTGGCTTTTTCTTGCCCTTATTTAATCAAAAGGTGCCAAGAAATAGAAGAAAATAGTCAAAATTAAAAATGTCTTCTATATATAAGAAGTATCAACTTTAAAAGTGATTAAATGCAGTAGTAAAAATTAAAATATTTTTATCTTATTTATATATATTATATAAAAGAACGAAATTGGAAAGCGTAAATAGTGAACAACATATATATCATTGATAATTTATTATCTTAGATATTTTATTTATAATTAATGATTTTCTTGTTAAATTAAAATATGACTGATTTTATTTATTTTCTTATCAACATTGAAGCTTTTATCAAAATAAACTTTCTTTAATTGATAATTTAAAATTATTGTAAAAGAATTACTTTTATATTTTTGAAAGTAAGAGCTAAATTTAATTTAATTATTGATATCAAGTTAAAACTCCTTACTATTAATAGTAACTATGAAACTCATGTTATTTTCTCCAGTCAAGTTTCATGGCTGAAAATCTTCAGTATTCCATGAGTATCTTAAATTTAGGAAAAAGAAAAAAAAAACCATAAGGAATCTATCTCTTTTCCTTGAAATGCTTGGACAAATGCCTAAAATAAATTAGTTGGCGTTAATGCCCTCCCTCATAACAAGGGCTGTAGCACATTTGACATTACCCATTGGATTTCCTTTTTTTTTTTTTTTGGATAAATTATCCATTTGGTCACTTAATTTTGCAGTACTATTATTTGAGTATTTGGTTAAAAGAAATGATGGTCAATCAGAGAAAGAAGTGAATGAAGTTATTGCTTTAATTTCATCCCGTTGTTCAACTGTTAAGAATTTATGTCTTTTTAGTTTTTTCTTTTCATTTTCTGTTATTTGGTTGTTCGTTTATAATCCAACAAGAAAAGAGGAAATTGTTATTTGATGAAAGCACTTTTCACTAAAGATGAGCAGTTTTATTCCTCAAAAGAATATAAATGGGAAATACACCCTTGAGAGCACAGATTTTATTCTGAAATTAAATTATTTTACTGTATAGTTTTAGATTTATCGGTATTATGTAATATTTGTCTATCAAATATATATATATATACACACACAAATGCACTTGTATTACATACATATTCATATGCAATTACAAGTTTTAAAAATCATACTACTATAAATTTCTAAATATTTAACACCCAAAATTCTAAATAAATCAAACAACTATAAAAATAATAAGTATATAATAAATTACCATTAAAGAAATTTAATAGTTTAATTTAATGGAAACATTTAATTTTTGGATTTAATCATGAAAAAAATTAAAATAATGATGAAAGCAAAAGAATTAAGAATTGATTTAAAGAGTTAGAACAATAAAAAAGTTTAAACAGGATAAAATAAGAGGCAAAATTTTATATCAATCAAAATATCACTTTTTTACTTGTATGACTGAAACGGACTAGTACGTTGGATACATACAGGCTGATGCAAAGATCAAATAAAACAATAATATTATGTGTTGTGATTCAAAACTGATATATATATTAGCTAATACGATGAGTATGGGTACATTATCAATAACCATGGTAAAAATCCTTGTTCAATGATATAACCAATAGCATCAATAAAAATGTAAAATGATAATATTATATGTCCTAATTAATACAGAATAAACCAATGTGGTTTATCCTAAGAAGCGTTGAAATTTTACCATTTCTCTAAAACATGTCTGGATATGATTTTGCCTTGGATCTTGCTCATATTATAACAGTTTATATCTTATTTTCTGGTCGAACTTACCAACAATAAGATCCGCTTGTGCAAAAAACAAGATTGCTGGATCAATTAAACCTTTATGCTAATGAAATAGCTTTTTGATTTCCTGTTAAAGATGCCCCAAAAAAAAAAAAACAACATCTTGTTAATGTTTGGAACGAGAATTAAATTAATTATTTTACATCCATAAACTTTGGAGCAAATAGTTTCATTACCAATGTCATGCCAAGCAAAAAAACGTTTTTATTCTACTTTATATACACGATATATATATATATATATTTATCTTTTGACGATAATGTTTGAGATGAAAATTAAATTAATTATTTTAATCCATAATCTCATAAAATTTGGAGCAAATAGTTTCATTATGAATGCAATGCCAAGCAAAAAAAAAAAACATAGCTTTTATTCTACTTTAATAGTTTCATTATGACTGTAATGTCAAGCAAATGGTTTCATTATGAATGAACTCTTGTAACTTGGTTTCTTTATGTTCACGGGTGAAATCCCTTCGAAAATAGGAAATCATTTGAGCTTGGAGATATTTTCTGCCCCAAATCTGAGGCTTGTTGGTCCAATCCCAGCTTCCATCTATAACCTTTCTTCTTTAACAGAAATTTATGTCTATAGCACAGTCTCTCTTGCAGTATTACATATAATATGTGTTATACTCTTGTCAAACTTCAGGTGCTTGATATTTCTGACAATGAATTTTCAGGCCACATTCCAAGAAGTATAGGAAATTTAACCAAACTTAAGGAGATATATCTAAGTCATAATGATTTAGAAGGTAAGTTTTTGCATTTGATTATTTAAATTTCAATTGATTGATACTTTTTATTAATTATATTAAAAAAAATAACTAAAAAATAAAAATTAAAAGAATGATCAACATGAAAATAATCACATTTGATTTTCTTTTATGCTTTTCTCATTTTGACTCAAACTTTTGGAATTGAAGAAATTAAGTTTTCCTTCATATTTTAAACATCAAAGGAATTAAGAATTTATTGTTTAATTGACTTTTATTGCATTTTAAATAACCTCAATATTATTGGAATGTTTAGAAAGTGGATAGTTTTATAATACTAAGTTGTTGTTCCTTTGTAGGTGAAATTCCGTGGGAGATTGGGAATCTTATTTCATTGGAGATATTAGCTGCATCATCTATGCGCTTAAGTGGGTTGATTCCACATTCCATCTTCAACATTTCTTCTTTGAAAGCAGTTAGTTTCGCAAACAATAGTCTATCAGGTAATTTCATTATAAACATTTCATTACATTTATGTTTAAAATTGTTTACTTTAGTTTCAAAAAAGTTTAGTTTAGGATTATAAAACAAATAATCATAAAATTATGAAAACTGTTAAAAAAATGAAGTGTCATTGAAAGGCTTGAGAAATGTCTTTTCAAACCTCTTTTATCTTATTAAAATCAAATACTGTTTCCAATTAAATTAGGGAACGCAAAACAAAGACTCAAAAGAATTTGAAAACCAAACCTGAAAATCGAAATTTCCATCGTTTAGAAAATATTTTAAAATTTTTAAAAAACATTTTATGATGGAATCATGCCCCTAACTGGGATGCGCACCACTAGCTAAGTCTACAAAGTTGGCCAATGTGGAAAAAGGATAGGTACCCAAAACTTGTGATGTAATATGGCTATTAGTTATTATCCCATTGCAATTATATACGATAAAACTATTTGATTTGGTTTATAATGTGATAAAAAGTAATATTAACGTACATTGTTACTCCCATATTAATTTAATACCGACTTAATTTATTGTTACATCTAACTTAAAGTAGTATTATTATATTTTATATTTTTATATTTATTCATCTGCAAATATTTAAAATTTATATTTTGTGTAATAAAAAACTTAACAATCTATTTTATTACTTTTATATTTCTTAGTAGTGTGTATCCGCGTGGGCTAGTTTTATTGGCTATGTGTGAAATGTTTCATAAAAATTAAATCATATAGGTATCATTAAATTGATTAAAACTGTTAAGTATATATTAAAAGGATTGTGAAATTCAAATTTTCATTATGAGGGATAAATTAAATAAGATTCAAATGAATATATTTGATTTTCATCGTAACGAAGTTGTAAAAAACAATAATATTCAGATTCTATAGGTATACTCAAAAGTTTATAAACTGTAATCATACAAGATTTATATGAATATGTTTGATTAGCTCTTAATAAGTTATTAAATAATGAAATATGCTAGTCACATACAATAAATTTGATGGGAGGAAAGAATTGATCAATGGAGCTATTTGTTAATTATCCATTTTTTCCCACCGCATGGAATTAAAATGAATGTTGTATTTTGATATTCTGTATATTGAAAACAGTAAAAGATGATGTATATTTGTTTAGTTTTATATATAAATGACAAAAAGTAAGCTAAAACATTTGAAACTTGAAAAACAAAAAAATTAAACAACCTGAATAGCAAGAAGAAAAAAAATGAAAGAAAGAAAAATGAGAAGTAGAAAGAGATAGAGATTCTAAAAATGAAAATATGATATAATAAAGTACATGTAAAAACGTGTATTCTAAAATTATAACTCGCATAAAAAATTATAATTAAAACCTGTATTGTAATGATTATTTAATTTGAAGTGGTAAAGAAAGAGTCTTTCCATGTCAATAAAACCAAATTAAAAACTTTTTAGTGTTTATTCCCTCAAATATTTTTGTTTTAACACCAATTTAAAGTTTCATTAAATTGTAACTGATCCATTTTGTAATTTCTATTATTACCTAAAGACATTAGGTCAATTCATTTTATAGGTTTTCTAAATTATTATTTATTAACAACATGTAATATTGTATTAAAATTAATATAATTTTATTATTTATTAACAAGATGTAATATTATAATAAAATATTCAATTTAAATCTTCTAAAATATAAAATTTTTATTGAATGGATAACATAATTTTAATTTGAGCATTATTATGTTACATATAAATAATAAATTTAAATATGGAAATTAAAATTAGATTAAAATTATTATAACATTATATATTAAGTCCACTCTTCTAATACAAAAATTAAGGCTTATACATTTACTTAGCCTATATTATTTTTTAGTCAGCCCATTCTTTTAAGACATATGAGTAAAGTTTATATGGTAATTGAGGATCAAACTTGCGATTAATTATATTTGACAAAAAACAATTTAAAAAAAAATTAACAAAAACCATAGTTTTAAAATATAGTATTAATGATTTTTTTTAATCATACCCCGTTCCAAAAAAAAATCAACATCAAAATTAATAAAAAAAATTCTTCACTTATCCAAGCACATGTCAATTTCCAATTCATCTCTAACTACCAAGCTTTTGTCACCGGATTGTTTTAATGTAATGCATAGATTTGTTTAAAGTTGTCTAACTTTTTATCTGAAGCATTTCAGTTATAGTTTTTTTTTACTATAATATTATAATTATTATCTAATCACAATAGAATATTATATAAGGATCGTCACTTATAAATATGGGTTACATATAAAATTTTGATAAATTTTACATAATTTTAAATTATAATAGTTGTAAATTATATGCTCTCTTTTTATTATATGCAATAAAAATAAGTGCTACTTTTATCCTGTTTTTTTGGTTTGTCAAATTAGGGAATTTAACTGTTCTTTTACGAAATAAAAAGCAATAGTTGTGTAATTTTTTTTTTTGCTAAGCCATATTTTTATTAGAGATCAAATGACCATCATCAGTGAAATACAAGAACCTAACCAAGAAACATAGTTAAAGCCATACAGAAACAAAAAAAAAAAAAAAAAAAAAAAAAAAAAAACACTTCCATGGTCGGTAAACAAATAATGAGAGCAAACACCACTATCCCTTGCCATGACAAAATCACCACCCACCTTTGCCATGACGTCTACCATATCATTCAGCTTTTTAAAAATTTTTTATCAAACTGATGCCCCATTGATCTCCAAAGCTCAACAATTTCAAAAAAATATAGACAACAACTTTCATGGTCGATGATTCTTTTTACATAGGGGTACTTCCATATCCCAAAAGCATACAAATAGCAAAACGCTAAAACTCCCAACATTAACCTCATAACCACCATCATATTCTTCTAGAAAAGCTCTATTTCGACAACGAATATCTTCATCTCATAAGTGCTCTTGAACATTGGAAACTAGAGTTGTCTTTATCTGGCGAGACTTGCGATTGGATCTTGTCCAATATTTTGCCTTAACTTTTTTCCTTCTTTTACCTGCTCGAATAGTAGTAAGAAGGTGAAATTTTTCTTCAACATTGAAAAGTTTCTCCCCGTCTAGATCACTATTGCTCATAAGCTCAATAGAAACTACTAACCAAGTTCCAGAGATAATAACATACTTTCTTGGAGAAAACTTACATAAAGTTTTTTAGGTGAAGGTTGTAAAATTTTTTCTTAAAAATAATTTAATAAAAACTTCAATAAAAAAATTAAAACAGACAGATTGATAGAATTTAATATGAAGATCAATAATATGTAAAAGAAATTATTAAAAATATTATTTATAATTTAATTTTGATCAATATTTATTTAACGGTAAAAATTCTATCAATATTTTTACTAAAAATGTTTATATAAAACAATATAAATTTTTTTTTGAATTTTTTCAAATTTTGCATACTTGATCTATGTAACAGAATATTTTAATCGATTGGTTTTGATTTTTTATTTTAATTTTTATTTAGTCATTTTTGGTTAAAAACTTCATAAATTTTACTTAAAGAATTTCATCTAAGTCTTTCCCTACTTTCTTTGCTTTCAAAAGTCAAAAGAACCATATTCTCACCCATTATAGTGACAGAACAATCATCGAAGTTCTCTGACAAGATTTGATCAATGGCATTTGCAGTATCAGGATATCTAACTATCCCAACAGCATTCCGTTGTAATCCTACCAAATCTAAATTTTCAGGAATGTATTCAAGGATGTTAAGCCATTTTAAAACCTCTTCTTTTTGACCATCTGATACAATGTTATCCTTTAACTGAGTGGATTTGACAGACATATGAACCACCTCTGCATAAGATCGTCCATCTCTAAAGTCTTCTATGCAGCTTACACTTTTTTCCATGTGGTGAGTGGTGGGGTTAGAACTAGCAGCAGACCTTTGATCATTCCTTGCCATTTGAACATATAGAGTGGAGTAACTCAGGTGCTAACCATTTAGAAACAGCCCTCAATGCATCCCGTAGATCAAGATAATGGACAAAACCACCTAAGACATTTTTGGCTCTCTTTTGATTTTTTAGGACATAAAAATCAACCACCCTCCCACATCTGACAAAACATTGCTTGAGATTAAAGAGACTACATCGTAGAAAAATTCCATCAACAAACAGTGTAACAAATTTTTTTCTCCCAAAGGTAATGCTCTTATGTGGCCTTCATAGCATCCAAGAAGAGCTTTTTGACTTACCTTTACTTCACCCTCTAAATCGGACTAAGGCAAGGCTTTTCACCCTCTAATAATTGTGTAATCGAAAGCATCATTTTAAAATCTTTTTCATTAGTTTCACATTTTTTGTCCTCATATTACCAAATTTTTTATTCGTAGTAGGAAAATGTATACAGTATTACTCCAACAAACCTCAAATGAGCCTCCTCTGGTAGCGCACTCGTAAGGTTCTATGAAACCTTAGGGAAGAAAAAAAGTGATTTTCAAACTAAAAAGAGTTCGTGTACTTTTAACAATCTTTTAATAGAATCTTTGTATTTTTCTCTTTTATTATGCATATAGTCTAAAATGAAAGAAATTTTACCATTTCTCTTGAGTCTTTTTTCCTAAAATGGCATAGATAAAAATTCTAATTTATTTCCAAACATTTACACTTTCTCAACAAATTAATGTAAATATATTTTTATTTTTTTATTTTCTTCATTTTTATCTTGTTTCTTTTTCTTTAATGAACAATTTCATCATCCAAAATTTCTTTAATCCTTTTTATCGTTAAAGCAATTGAGATAAGTTAAAGAAATAAAATTCTCACATAAATGGAAAACATTTTAAGCATATACTAGAAACCTTAATAATATTTTCTTTTCTCCCTACCTTTCTTCTATCTTCTATCTTCTTTTTTCTTTTGCTTTTTCTTTTTCCTCTTTTTTACTTTATTATACGTAAGTATGGAGCCTTTTAATCACTATAAATATGAAAAATATTTATAAATTATATATACATTCCAGATCATCAAACAAGAAAAACTCGAAGTTGTTTCATATTTATAATTTTTTCATGTTTGTCCTCACTCATGTTCGTAGATGTAAGCATCGCATTCACTTCAGCTTGCATCATAGATTCATGAAAAACACAAGAAGCAAAACAATTAATTTATTTCTTGTATGGAAGGATGAAAACTTATTTTTTCTCTTTTTAGGTAAATTACCATACATGAGCTCTGCTTCGAATCTTGAGGAGCTTTACTTATGGGAGAGTAATCTCAGCGGAAATATTCCTGACTCTATCTCCAATGTTTCTAAGCTCAGAATCCTATCATTACAAGAAAACTCGTTCTATGGCCTTATTCCAGATACACTTGGCAATTTGAGGTTCCTTGAGATATTTTACCTTTGGTCGAATCATTTGACCACCAAAACTTTCAACTCAATGAGTGGAGCTTTCTCTATTCCTTGGCAAATTGCAGGTATCTAAGGATTTTAGACCTATCATTCACCCCATTTGAATGGCATTCTTCCAACGTCTATCTCAATCTTTCCACATCACTTGAACAATTATGGGTCATTGATTGCAAAATTAGAGGCAGCATTCCAGGAAATTGGTAGCTTAAGCAAGGCTATATTGTTAGACCTTTTCCTCTAATAATTGAGTGGACCTATTCCAACAACAATAGGAAGGCTAAACATCTCCAACTTTTGAATCTTTATAGATAAGTTACAAGGCTCTATCCCACATGATCTTTGTGGTTTGAAGGGATTGTACAAATTATCATTGGTGGCTAATGAGCTTGATGGACTTTTACCGACATGTTTGTGTGATTTGACTTCTCTGAGATATCTATACTTGTTCTCCAACAAATTGCATTCGCAAATACCTTTAAGTTTTTGGAGCCTTAAAGATATCTTAGAAGTAGACTTGTCATCAAACAATCTTAGCGGTTCACTTCCACTTAACATTGGAAATTTAAAGGTACTTATCTCTTTGAATTTGTCAAGGAATTTATTATTAAGTGATATTCCGTCCACAATTGGAAGTCTCCAAGATCTACAAGTTTTGAATCTTTCCAGAAATAGATTACAAGGGCCTATTCCAAAATCATTGGGTGACTTGATGAGTTTGAAAGCCTTGGATTTATCTAACAACAATCTCTCTGGAGTTATTCCCAAGTCTTTGGAAAAACTTTATGATCTCAATTATTTTAATGTGTCTTTCAACAGATTAGAAGGAGAAATACCAAGTGGAGGGCCTTTTTTGAACTTCGCAGCCAAATCCTTCATGAAAAATTATGCACTATGTGGTTCACCTAGACTACAAGTCTCACCTTGCAAAAATAAAATCCATCCCAAATTCAAGAAGACCGCTCTTCATGCTTTGCGGTATGTTTTTCCAACATTTGCTTCAATAATAATAGTTGTAGCTGTCATAATTGTCTACAAAAAAGGGCAGCGGGGGAATATGAATTTGGCAACGGTTGAAGATTTAATTCCTCTCAAGAAAAGGAGAAGAATTTCGTATAATCAACTATTGCAAGGGACTGGTGGATTTAGTGGGAATAACTTACTTGGTTCAGGAAGTTTTGGCTCTGTATACAAAGGAATACTTTCAGATGGAACAGAAGTCGCAATAAAAGTTTTCAATTTGCAAATAGATGAAGCATTTAAGAGTTTTGACACTGAATGTGAAGTGATGAGAAATATCCTTCATCTCAATCTTGTCAAGGTTATTACTTGTTGTTCAACTATTGATTTCAAAGCCTTGGTGCTTGAGTTCATGCCTAATGGGAGCCTTGAGAAATGGTTATATTCTTACAATTATGTATTGGATATCCTACAAAGAATCAACATAATGATAGATGTTGCATCGGCATTAGAATACCTCCATTTGGGACATCCGATTCCTATAATCCATTGTGACCTAAAACCAAGTAATGTCTTATTGGATGAGGACATGGTTGCACACGTGGGAGATTTTGGAATTGCCAAGCTATTGGGAGAAGGAGATTCCATCAAACAAACAATGACACTAGCTACTGTTGGCTATATGGCACCAGGTATTTTTTTTCATTTTTTTAGTTTTTTCTCTATTCCAAGCGAGTAGATATTAGTATTTTATCATTTTATTGATGATTAATGATGCCCTAATGGCATAAGATCATTTTAATAATTTAATTATATTTAAAATACAGAATACGGATCAGCAGGAATTATTTCCATAAAGAGTGATGTCTATAGCTATGGCATTCTATTAATAGAAACTTTCACAAGAAAGAAGCCCACAGATGAAATTTTTGTTGGAGAAATGAGTATGAAGCATTGGGTGAAAAGGTCATTATCTAATGAAATAGTTGGTGTGATAGATTCTAGTTTAGTGCGAGAAACAGATGGATATTTTGTTATTAAAGCAAATTGTATATCATTTATTATGAGATTAGCTTTGGATTGTTTAGCTGAATTACCTAAAGATAGATTAGATATGAAGAATGTTGTCTCCACGCTGAAGAATATCAAAAGAGAATATTTGAACAACATTGCCCAGGTTTAATTAATATGGTAAGGAATGCAATTATATATATAGTTTAAGCTTATATAAAAGCACATAGCATATATTTATTTAATTTTCTTTTAAGAAGGTATTCCGTTAAGTTGTATATTTTCTTGCAGGTTAAGGTTATATGACCATAATGCATATTTTGGTTCAACAATCAAGGTACTTTCATCACTTTTGAATTTTTGTTTATATATTTATTTGTTAACTTTGAACTCTTCATTAAAGTAATTTTTTCTTAATAACATTTTAACTTTTACAGTAAAAACTAGAGTTGTAATTCCGTCGAATCATTAAAGAGTTCAAATAATTATAAGATTTGCATAGCTAGTGAATTTCAATAACTTCTATGTCTAAGTAAGGAGGCATGGTAGTTGTAAATATATAAAAAGGATTTTCTTGATTAATAAATAACCTTTTCACTTGGATGTGTGGTTACATGTATAGGAAGTTAGGCTCAGTTTGTGTATTTATGTTTTCTTTTATTTTTCTTTTATTAAATTCATATTATTTCTCAATACATATAATTAATTTATACATGTTATGTATGATTAGAAGTAACATATATATAGATTATAATTTCTATATAATTAACCAAAACATAAATTATCATGAAGAGAGCCAATAAGTTAAATTCATTTTCATTTACTTACATTATTTATTAATATAATCATTAATTAGGAATACTTTTTCGTTACAACTCTTTTTTATCTCAATGATTATAATAAGTATATAATTTTACATAACAATAAATTTGTACTAATGAATTTTCTTGTATGAAAATTATGACTCATACAATTGCAATTTTAAGTAATTTGGATTGGGTGGAAATAATGGCTCATTTTTTAAATATTTTTAGGTGATTTATGATTGATTATGGAATTATATGTCTGTTTATGATTAATTAACTAATATTTACAATATTATTTTTATAATTAATTATTTTTTTAATTGGTATTTGGGTAATAACTTATTAACGAATTTTAACTGATCAAATAAAAATTATTAGAATTATTATATAATTAGTATGTAACATTGCATTGTTTTTTTTTTATTTTTCTAAAATATAATGTTGTTATATATGATATTAATTAATATACATCATTTTTCTATTAAGAACCTCTTTACTTAAGGAGGTGATAATAAAAATGTATTATGAAATTTAGAAAAATAAAGAAATTTGAGAAGTTAATAAAATAAATTACTCTAGAAGAAATCAATTTTATCAATCCATCCCTCCTTACAAGGTTGCTTTCTTAAGAGATTCAGAAAATATATTAAAAAAGGGAACTGATGCAAGTTTTGTAATTTTATTGCAGTATGTAACTTATGAATTCAGCATGGAAGATATTGTGGTGTTTCTTCTCTTATTGTGATTGCATAAAGCTCGAGTGAGAGATTTATGGTGTATTTGTGCATTGGAAATGCGATAATCTTTCTTGCAATGATTTTTTATTTTTATTTTCTATTGGAGGAACATTAGAGTGATATGTTTTATTTGGAATCCATTGTTTTATTGAATCATATCTTGAAAAAAAACTATGCAAAGTTTATTTAACTTCATGCCAATGGTTTTCCTGTTACTTTATTCTATGAAGATGTCAATATTTTTTATTCAATAAATGGTGAGTAACTAAAAAACAAGTAACTCAAGTGAGGACATATGATGTACTTGTTTGTATTTTTGTATTCAGAAAGTTGTCAATTTTTTCTCATTTTAGAAGAATTAGTTTCTTTTCTTAATATACTTGAACTCTTGATTCCAAGTAATGATTTGAAGTTAAATAGTCCAAAGATATTTTTTGCTAAAATGTTTTGGTGCACAACAATTGCTAATAATTTTTCTATATATTTCCTCATGTTTTCATTTGTCAATTATTAATTTTCTATAGAATTATTTAATAAATTGAAAACAAACCTTTGAAAGAAAAATATCAATGTCGTCATTTGGTTTAAAATAAAAATTGTTCATGAAAATATCACTTTTTTTTTTGTTTTCATAAATGATAGGGAGAAAAAAAAGCATAAAATTAATGATTTGAAAATAATGTGAATTTTTTTGTAGTTTTTAATTAATGATTTGAAAATAACGTTTAAAAAAATATAAATAAATTTTATTAAAAAAAAACTTTTGATATCATAATAACTATTGAGTTTGATTAAAAATAGGTAGGAAAAGAAAAGTTATACAATTATATATGTTAATTCCACTTTTTCATGTTTTATTTAGTTAATTAGTTGAAAATAAACTTTTGAAATAAAACTATATTTTATTAATTAATGCCTTGAAAATAAAATTTTAAAAGAAAAAAATGAATCAATTTTATTTAGAAAATTTTCATTTTTCACTAACCATTAAATCGAACTAAAATGATGGGGAAATATTTCATAAAATCTGAAGTATATTTAAAGATATTTTTAGTTTGAACAAAGTTGTATCATCCAACATATTCGAACTTTATCATAAAAAAAAGGGGCTTAATTTAGACTACTTGGATCAAGGCCTATTCTCTTAAAGGAGAACCTATTTGGCAAGTGTTTGAAACTCAAAGTTGTAGTTGAAGTTGGAAAAAACTATCATGGCTACGCTTAGTTTAAAAGCCTAAATCCTAAATCAAAAATATCAAATGCATAACTAATCCAAACCTTTGAAATTCAATATTTCTTTAAATCTAATATCAAACCCAAAAAATTTGATAAAAAAATCAAACTCATAACAACTTTAACAATATTCAAAGCTTTTGTTTGTGGTTTAGCATTTTGAGAATTTTCATTTTGAAGATTTTATTTTTGTTCTTTTTTCACTATAAATATATCAAAAATTTCACACAAATCAAATTTTAAAAATCAACCTAAAATAAGGTAATATAAAAACCTCATAATTAGCATTACCTTTATCTTGGGTGGGGATTTTGATCGTCAAAATAGTAATCTCAAAGGAGAGTGAGATTTTGGTCACTACAATGATAACCTCAAAAGAGGACAGCAATGGCTGGCTTGTTGTACTCATCGATCAAGTCATCTTGTTAGTGGCGGTGATGGTAATAAAATATATTTATGACCAAAAAATATGAAAAGAAAAAAGGAAAAACAAAAAAGGAGGAACATAATAGAAAAGAAGAGAAACGAGGGGAAATTGAGCCATCGACAATTAATTTGAGGCCACCCATGAAAGAAGATAACATGAGAGAGATTGAGATTTTCAGACAATGTGAGAGATAAAAATTAGTTGAGTTGATAAAATTTGAATATTTAGGTTTGTATTTTATTACGAGTAATTTTCCTTGAGATAAATATTTTATTTTGTCCAAAACCCAAATCAATTAAACTCCAACTAATTTGAAATCCAATTACTGAATTTTAAATTTTAGATTTTTATTTTATTTTTCTGTATTCTTTTTATCCTTATTTATTTTATTCTTATTATTATACTATTTATCTTGATTTTATCCTTAATTATCTGATTATCTTTTAAAAAAATTGATAATTTGAAAGTTTAAAATAATGTTGTCTCAGTGAAGATGCTAGTTTCATCAGAAGCAGTTTGAGATTAGAATTACTTTAGTAATAATCTTTAATTTTAAAGAAATCTAATCCTAAGTGAGTTGAAACTCTCATGATCTTACCTATAAATAAACTTTCAAGTCAAAACAACTGAAATAAAAAATCACAGAGAAAGCAATCAGCAGAGAAAATCAGAGGGAAACACGGGAAATCGAAAGCAAATCCCCATTTTGTTGGCCTAGCCCCCAGATGCCAGTCACCACCATCAGTCATCCACGACCTAAACCAGCTACCGAAGCCTACCACTGCCTTTCCTTGCCCAAATAGTAACCATCGATCCAAAATCCAACAAATAGTCAAAACACAATAACCAGAGTCAAGCATCAAAAATAGCCACAGAGATAGAATCAGAAATCGACAACAATCGAAAGACGAAAACAAAACATTTTCTTCTAGCGGTGGGTTTTCAGTTTGGGATTCACTTTTATTTAGGCACCTTTTGGAATTCTTTTAAACGGAAAAAGAGAGGGGAAGGATTTGGAAGAGTTTTTCAATGATCCAAGTAGCTGGGATTAAGAATTCCAAGAAGTGGTAAAATGGTCATTGTGTTTGAATTTGCATAGTATCAGTGGGATTCCGAAAATAAATAGGAAGGGAAGTGACAACTTGTAGGCAAAATGGAAGAGACAACAGCAAAAATTGAGAGCGGTGTTGCTGAAATGAGGTGTTGGGCTTTATCCTTTTGCAATAAAGAATAAAGAAAGGGGAAGAATGTTGTAAAAATGGTCTAGAACTTGAAAATCCGGTCCAAGTCCAAAAAGCTTAAATTTTGAGTGTAACTTGAGGAGGATTCAAGACCCCACAATTTGAAGTGGACAACTCCAAGCCTGCTTTTTAGCTTAGGCGGGCCTGCGTTGGATTTGAGTTGTAACTCAAATTTCAGGTTTTCATCTTTTTTTTTCCTTAATTAATTTTCTGGTTCATTTTATTATTATTTATTTACTTTGTTACACGTTTTGTTAAGCATTCATTCTTAAACTGAAAAATTATTTAGTTGCTTCTCACTTAAAAAACTAAAATATGGTATAATAAAATATATTTATACTTGTAGTTTTCTTTAATTAAAATATTATCAAAATCATGTATTTCATATAAATCTTGAAGATAAATAAATTTTTTTTTTTAGAATCATGCAATTTAATTCAAACTTTAATTATAAGTGAAAATTTTTTCTATGGAGTTGACTTTTCAGAAATTTTTAGACAAGTAATTTCTT